TTGATTGTCGCATAAAAATTCACCAGGATTCAGATTGGCCCGGGTGCACTCACCTGCGATAATACTTTGTGCAACAACGAAATAAAATTCAATTTCAAATAAATACCTTATAGTAAAGTAACATTCACAAAATAGTCATTCTGGTGCCACTGTGTAAATATTACACCACACAAAAGAGTGGGATGTTTATCCCGACGTGAAAATCGAAACTTAATGCAGCTTTTGTGTTGAGCCTATCTCATCAAAATGATTTCATGCACAAAATGCTTGCACAGAACACTACTTCGACTAGCTCCATTAATGGATTTTGGGAGGAAACAGCTTTAATGTCCAACTTCAACTTGCAGAATTTCACATTCACTTGGGTGGTCTTAGTCTGATTTGTTACAATTTAGTTATGGGAAGGGGGAAGACATCTTTAAAATGACCAACATCCTTACGCGCAATTACTATCACTACTCACAGATCTACCACTATTATTTCATCACTACTTCAAACTGTTACATGGGAACTTTTTTTGAAGGGACCAACATTGCAACTGTGACCTCGCGACCCTGGTTGCAACCTTGAACTCGCGACCCCGGATGCAACCGTGAACTCGCGACCCCAGATACAATCGTGACCTCGCGACCCCAGTTGTAATCGTGACCTCGCGACAACCTTGACCTCGCTACCCCGGATGCCGACGCGCGTACGTACGATGTGTCGATGAGGTCGTCGACGATCTGCCGGGCGATGAGCTCGTACTCCTGGTGTTCGTGTCGCGTGACGACGCTCGTCCGCTCTGCCCACTGCTCCTGCTCGTCCAACCAGCGGATAGCAGAAAGATTCTGCTTGTAGCAGACGCCGTCCCCGCTGCACACCGCAGCCTCCTTCCCCTCAGCAGCAGCAGCAGCAGCAGCATCCATGAAAATATAAAGATTCAAGGTATCCTTTCTCACAGGCGCCACTTTTTGTACGTTATGGCCACAATAATTATGGACTAACTCTAGAACGCGAGAACAACGCGTGAACGCTTTAAGCCAATATGCGCTCGCCCAACAATCGCCATAATATTTCTCGCTTCACAATGCTAAAAAAACATTAATTTCCCAAGCTCCATAAAAAATCGTAAAAGTTTCTCAGTTTGATCGTACTTCTAGAACATCATGATCGTAAGGAAGACGAACAAATCGTAAACGATGCATGGTCTGAATGCGAGCACAACTAGTGTAACTCACTCATGCACTTCTCTTCAGCTCCCTGTGCGTGTTGGCAGCTCTGTGACTCACGTCCGAGCACCTTCTCTTCTTCTCCCACTCGCCCGCGCCTCCCCAAAAATCTTTGTCCACTTCTAGGTTACCGGACTGATCATGTTTCCGCGTCCCTGCTACCGAGTACGCAGTACTGGTAGACAGTAATCAACGTCTACCGGCGCCTGCTAGCGCGATTATCCAGCTAATGTTGCATACTCTGTAGTGTTCAATCGTTGAATTTCTAATCATCATCGATCGTTACAAATCGTTACCGGAGTTGAATGCCTGCGTTAGCCGTTACTGTCGTTTTGCACTGCTTTACTACTGTGTGTATAAACTAGTTATTTAATAAAAGTAATGATAGTGCATATATCTCTATTCTCATCACTTTTTCAATTTTTTTTTTCAAATTTTTTTGATGAATTTATTATGGATTTGGATAACCATACCTTGGCTCGAGCCACTATATCAAGCCATAGATCGAATTATAATCGATGCATCGCTGATTCACTAACTGCTGGGTATTGTGGCCTCGCTGCTGTGTTGTGCTTGAATGTGCATTGTGTGGCGCATCTGCGGGGCTGTCCGCCGGCATGGCGGCTGATCACGAGATGTACATTCGGAACGCGAAGACCCGATTGCAGCAATGCTAGTGCATGGCTTGCACTCTGTACGTCTGCTCAAACATTAACCTGACATACGACAGTCGTTAAAAACTACCAGACTGTCCTAAACAATGTCTTTGCACCTTTTCAGTTAACTTCCATGTTATATGCCTCGATCAGGAAGCCTGAAGTCTTGTTGGCAACATGAAACACTCAGTTTATGTTATAACCGGAAAGTGTATTCGATATTTTCCGTTTCCGACACGCATCGCTTACTGCACAATCTCGTTGCGGACCATCTCTGTGCTGTGGGGATCAGCACCAGTTTATTAACTTGTTGGGAAGCCTCCCTGTTACACTAAGCCATTCATCAGACAAAATTAAAGCATACTAGAGTAACTACATCTTCCAGACTAAGCCAGTTCTCATCATGCTTAAATTATTACGTCACAATAAATAGTAAAGTACAAAATAATATTCTCATTTTTCATAAAAGCAAGTTAATTCTGTTCATCTTTTATTGGTTTTAAATTGACTGCATTATACTTCCTATTTTCTTACGTATTGTTTGATGTAACGACAACCTCGTACTCATACATAGCCGCCCTAGCAAGCAATTAATTTCAGAATCATACATAATCATATCATCAGGTTTTAGATTTTTAACTAGTGAGAACCATCTTATCAAGTAGCAATTGACGATACATTTTATCCCTTATTAGTACTCACTTTTAAGTAAAAAATGCAACAATTTTTTTACAATATACACCATAGAAAATTCGTGACGTTCTCTGACGTTTAGTCAATTAACGCCTAGATCTCTAACATGACTTTATTCACTTACCGCAGGTAATGCTGACGAGCATTTAGTCTGTCCAGGATCACCTGATAACGCGGGCGGTGTTTCTCTGACATGAGCCGGGCGCGCCGACAAATGGTTAGCCCATCAACGCAAACGTCTTCATCGCTGAACACATCATACATTGCTGACGACTGAAGAGGCAATTCTTTACTGAGCGAACATATGAACAATCATTAACACTACAAAGTTTTGCAAAGACTGAAGGTGGACTTACAGATGCAATATCATCGCGTCCAAGCGAGCAATCTTATTTTAGCCTGAATTTCAAAAACTTCAGTAGGACATATGAAACAGCGCACATTTCAAATCTTATTGGATAAAGATCTCTCTGGTTCTCTTTGAAATAGTAGGCTGCCGCAGCAACCGGCGCTGGGCGGGCTATACGGAGTTCCACAGCACGGATCAAACATTCGGTAGACAGACTCTGTCGTTGCCACCCACTATGGTTCATCTATAACACGACAAGAGACAACATCTGTCTTTGATCGATCTATATCGATGTATACGGGAGCACTGCTGATTCACTAGAACAACTCCTCGTGTCGATTTGACATTAAATTGAATGCGATTTACTTACATGTGCGCCTCTGCCCTCCTCAATACTCAAAGCCATCTTTCATCATCGAAGACTGCAATCGAAAATAAATCACACATTAGTCGTTATATTCATCCAAGCAGACTCTTAATTAATTCGCCGCGCGGCTGTCTCACTCAGAATATACAGCTGAAATCTTAGGGTAACACCACGGCCATGAAAACGGACCCAAACCAGAGCGAGAACAAAGCGTGCGAAAAACCCACACGAAAAAAACCGCAAAATCCACGGCAAAGAAAACCCGCGCAAAAGAGGTACCCACATTCCGTCGCGGGCCGAAATTCCTCCTGGCTTCCGCTTCCGTCCGCCGGAAACTCGTTGGTGACCGTCATCGCGCTCTCCGTCATGCCGTTGATGCTGGGAAGCATCGCCGGGGCGATGGGCGTCGGTCCCGCGTCGTACCACTCGTCCTCCGAAGACCCGCCGTGCGCGGCATCCCCGACCCGCAGCTCCCGCTGCGCCCGAGCGCGACGGCGGGTGACCTCGCCATCTCCACGGCAACCCGCGCGTCGCTTTCACTCTCCGCGCATGCCGTCGGCGTCTCCTCCCCGCGTCCGTGTCGGGCGTTGTCTCGCCGGACGCCTTCGCGCAGCTATCGCGGACGCCTCACGCGCGCTGCGCCGTTGCGCGAGACTCGGTGCCTGCTGCGACTGTTGTGACTTGGCCGCTCGGCGAACCACCGATCCCCGAGTCGCTCATGCTGTAGGACCTGCGAGGGCCGCAGGGCGCCCGCGGGGACGACGTCGTTGAGCACGCGCGCCTCCTTGTCGCTGTCGGTCGACGCGAGAATCTCGAGCGACTCTGTCACCTTGTTGTTGTGTTCGTCGGCATGACACCCTCGACGTCGTTTTTGTTCGTCGCATGACGATCTCGACGTCGTTGTTGTTCGTCGGCATGACGATCTCGACGTCGTTGTTGTTTGTCGGCATGACGATCTCGACGTCGTCGCTGTTCTGCTGCTTCTTAGCGCGCGCAGCTTTAATCTGCTCCCTCATCGACGGTCGCGCGACCTTGGGCTTCGCCGTCGCGTCCTTGGGCGGGTCGGCTTTCCCTTCATCCTGGAAGACGCGAGTGGAAACGACGGGGTTACACACATGTTCATATATAATTATTCGTATTTTATACAATTATTCATTATAAATTATTTATTTTTCATTTATATATATTTTAAAATATTATTATGTTTATAATATTTACATGGGGTTAAACCGATGGGTGTAATATGTACGTGTTCTTCCGTTACACAACCTATGCTGTATGGAACGTGATGCACAAATATCCTTGCTCCCCCAGGGAGGGATTCTCTAAGGGTTCTCCCTAGCCATAACGTATGTCAGGTCTGACATGCATTCAAAGCTGATGCAAGTTTTCACAGCGGATAAATCCTCTGACACTACATTTCCCAGTGACTTTATTTTAGCAATCCCATTCATCGTCTGGTTTCAACAGCTCGATGTATATGTCTCAGACGCTAATAGAGTTCACCTGTGTATTCAGGGTTGCTCATGACAGTGTAAACGACTCCAATTGGTTCAACACTTTACCCCCATCGTCCATGAAAGACATGCCTTGTGAAATTCTTAGGGAGAACACTGATATGTCTAGCAGTGTCATTTTCATTGTCAACCTTTACATAACAGTTCATGTGCATACGTTATAACACCCTAGACTCACGCTTTAGTCTATTATTTAGTTTTGATAACAGCTCTCAGTTATCACCTTTATCACCCCAAATATTTCTCTCAATGCTACCCAGAAAGTACTTTTGTTGCCTGATGTACAGACTAGAAGCAGATCTCACAAAAAGTGTGGCATTATCATGTGTGGTAGTCGATTTGCCTTCTGTACATTGCATAATACATATGAATACAAATACAACTAGATGCTCAACTGTAATTGTAACTTACACAGGCTTCTTGGCAGGCTTTGGTGCAGATCTAACTGGTGATTTCTCCACGGCTATCCCCACTGCAGTGTAATAAGAGATTTGTCAGGATAGTTACAGAAATGAAGCAAGCAATTACATGCATTAGTCAGTCATGTTCACCATTAACCACCACATTAGTTCCACCTCACTACTCCCACGGCAATCATTCACTTGCACAATGTTACTCTACTCCACAGCACGTGCGCAGAGCTTGCGCATATGTGTGCAGTTGCAGGGGTTACTCTGGGAAATTGAAAAGTGTAGCCAAAAAATTAACAATTGACTTTTTTTGTAGCCAATGTTGATAATTTGTAGCAATTTTTTTTGTGTCCACGATTTTATTCTAAATTACCTACTTGTACAAACTACAGAGAATCATAACAATTAATAAAATGTTGATTTTACTAGTTTGTGTCTGTTGTATGTTTCAAATGTGTATTAGCAAAAAATAGCCAGTCTAATGTTTTTATAGCCAGTACAAAAAAATGTAGCAATTGCTATAAGTTAATATCGGGAGTTCAGCTGTGCTTATTTATTAATAGAAAAACGGCAGTATAAAATTCCCGAGCGCGCTTAGAACGTACCCATGAAATTAATGTACAACACTCGTGCGTTTTTAGTTTTTGCATTAACACAACATTGCCAAAATCCAAAATGACGTAATCATATTTGTTAAATATAGAACGCACATCGCAGCGTCCGGCCTCGTGAATTGAAGCCGATGCTTAGTGAACAATTATAGATCAAAAACCATAGACTTAAATCGACCATCTAACCATGTATAAAATACAAATATATCACCTCCCTTATCTGATTCAATATGGCGCGGACTTTCGATATGCCATTTTGCGAGTGTGTAGATGTAACCCCAGAGTTGCACGCACCTTCCGGGTTAGTGTTGAGCATCCTCCTTCATCTAAACATCGGTCGCAGGGTGCCTCGGACCACGGCCAGATTTCCGCATCGGCCAGGAAGCTTCCCACCATACGGTCAGGATTTCTCGTCGAATCTCATCCCAGTTGATCTTGTATGCGCCGCCGCAGGGCCGATCCTCGCTCTCCTCCGCCACTTGTCTCACACCGTCGGAATCGGACATGTCAGTCAACGCATGCCTGGCGTGAAAACATTCACAATTTTCTGCATCAACTGCTTTTGTTGAAATCATGTGTAAATCTAATCCAGGGTTAGTATATGGATGTAGAAAACAAGAGGCAGAATGGAATTGCCACAGTGAGTATACACACTGCGTCTACAGTCACGACTAATTTCCGGTCCGTTTAAATTGCGAATTCGACTGAGCGCGTCCACCGACCGCCTAAATAAGAACACGCCCGACTAAATTCACAAGACGCAACCGCGAAATTAACCACTCCAATTTCCATCAAGTCCTACATTCGTGAACAATACTCTGTAAGCTAATAAATTGCGTATACGTATTTTTATATTGCCAAAAGACGATAACCCTCTTCTTGCCTGATCATTTTATAAGTATCTACTGTCGATAATGAAATTCTACTGCCCTCAATGTCTGGAAACATGACACAGATTATCTCTGCAATGAGTTCAAGAATGTCAGAGATAGGATAATAGCACAGCCGTGGCATTATGCTTATACCGTTGTACCTGGTGTCCGCTGTTTCCACTTACTGGTACCTTGTCGGCTTAACGCTTGCACTGTTAGCCTGGTTGACGTCCACTGTGCTGATCTCAGCGTCTGTCAGCCTGATTCTTCTCAGGATCATCTTCTCCCTGTTCGGTTAAACTTCTCACAGAACATGAGCCTCCATCTATTAATGCGCGCTGTCTTTATGGAAGAGGAACTCCTCTTAGAGATTAGGCGCCGCTGTCTTACTGGAAGAGAAGCTCTCTAAATGACGCCCTGTCTTTATTGGAAGAGGAAGCCTCCTAGATATGGCCGCGCCTGTCTTTATTTGGATAGAGGAAGCTTCCTCCAGAGATGCCCGCTGTCTTTATTGGAAGAGAAGCCTCTTTAGAGATTTCCGCCGCTCTTTATCGAAGAGAAGCTCCTCTAAGATGGCAGCCGCTTCTTTTATGATAAGGAAGCTCCCTAGAATGCCGCCGCTGCTTTATTGGAAGAGTAAGCTCCTCTAGAGATGTCCGCCGCGTCTTTATTGTAAAGGACACTCCTCCGAGATGCGCCGCTGTCTTTATTGAAGAGTAACTCTCCAGACGATGGGCCTTCCCTTGTCATTATTTCAAGAGGAAGCCTCCTCTAATATGGCTCCGCTGATTTATTGGATCAGAGAACCTCCTCTAGATGATGGGCGCTGTCTTTATGGAAAGAGAACGCTCCCAGATGATGCGCGCTGTCTTATATGGAAAGAGGTAAGCTCCTCTAGAGATTGGCGCCGCTGTCTTTACTGAAGAGAAGTTCCGCTAGAGATGGCGCCGCTGTCTTTATTGGAAGAGAAGCTCCTTAAGATGCTCCGCTGTCTTATTTGGAGGAGGAATCCCTCTAGAATGATGCGCCGCTCGTCTTATGAAAAGGAAGCTCCTCTACAGATGCCCGCTGATTATTGAAGAGAAGCTCCTCTAGTAGATGCGCCGCTTCTTTATTACGAATGAGAAGCTCCTCCAGATGATGCGCCGCTGTCTTTATTGGATAGAGAATCTCCTCTACATGGCCCGCTTCTTTATTTCGAAGAGCGAAGCTCCTGGCTAGAGATGCGCCGCTTCTTTATGAAGAGAAGCTCCTCTTAGAATGGCGCCGCGTCTTTATTGTAAGCAGGAACTCCTCCAAATGGCGCCGCTGTCTTTTCTTGGAAGAGAGAAGTCCTCTAAAAAGATGGCGCCGCTCTGTCTTTTGAAAGAGGAAGTTCTCTGAGATGGCGCCGCTTCATGAAGAGGAAGCTCCTCTAAGATGCGAGCTAGTCTTTATGGAGAGAAGCTCTCCATGAGATGGCTCCGCTGTCTTTATTGAGAGTAAGCTCTCTAGAGATGGCTCCATGTCTTTATTGGAAGAGGAAGTTCTACTCAGAGAGGCGCCTGTCTTATTGAAGAGGAATGCCTCTAGATGATGGCCCTTGCGCTGTCTTTATGAAGCAGAAGCCCTTCCAGAGATAGGCT